AGGCCAGTTTTTTTAAAGCGCATATTTTGTAACCCGACGTTTTTAATGGAAACTTCGACCACCCTTTAGTCCGCCTACATGTGTCGGGTCGCCGGCGCACGCGCTTCCTGCCGAAACAGTGCCCGGCGCCGTCCGCGGGCATAATCGGTCGATTGTGAACCACAGTCACATGTTTCCATAATTATGTATTACGAGTACATGTGAACGAATAATTCTTTTACATTATGGGTAAAGTTCTGTTACTGTATGATGTGTTACTTAAGTTCTTGGATCTCGAGCGAGATTAATCTACAGTACTAGATTCAGGATTCACTGCTTTTCATGCACCAAACTATAATGTGAGAAAAACACCGCAGAATAACAGCGTCGTGTTCTGGGTTTTATTTACCACTCCAGAGCATGACACATGCTGAGCGGTGGCCAATTTTTGTTCTAACTTGTACTTGTTTTTTGTTATCTGATTCTGTGTGTTATATTTTAAGTTGGAACCAAATAAATGTTTTTCTTTCTTTCTTTCTTTAAAAAAAGGGAAACAAGTTTGGTAGACTGTGAATCTCCATAGATCCTGACATTGTTCAACCATTTCAAGGGCCATGATTGGCAGTGAGATCCGATATGTAAAACCACTTACTCATAACATGTCAGTTTGTCAGCTGTCTTTCTCAGTTTTCTCTACAGAAAGTTTAGTGAAAAATAAGCAACTGCACCGCAGGATGATTTAATTAAGGCTATTGACAACGCTACTCTTGTAGCGGAGTTTTGGGCTGACACTGTAGGTTTGTTGTCGACACGACAAGAAGAACAAGAATGAAAACTTTCAAAAAAGTAGAATTTGCAAAAATATTTACTCGACTGTATTTTTTAATGACGGGCCTGTTTAACGTTTAACTGATTTCGCGCAAGAAATGTGATTGATTGTCCGGTAATTATGTTTATTTCTGTAATGGCGTGACGTAACTTAATTTATGCCGCGCACTGGATATGCCACCCTTATAAGTAGTCTGTTACTTTGATATTTGGTTCAATAATTCACCATTAATTAGCAGCGTGTCACATTTAAGGAGGTTTTAAGGTTAAATGGTCACTTTTTTCTTATTTATTTTAATTAGTTTTCAATAATTACTGATTGCGTTTATTAATCATGTAATTTTAACAACCAACTCAAGGTTCTGTCAAACAATACAAGCATTCTGTAAAATAGCATGAAATTGAAAGTTAGTTTCCAAAAGGAACCTAATTTTAAATAAATAAATATAGTCCTTTATTGTTTCTACAACTTACTTAGCTAGTTACAATAATGTTGTTGATTGATTGACACAGTTTAAGGAAGCAATTGGAGGTGGCTCAGCTAATTCTGCCTGAAAATACTCAGGCTGCGCTGACTTTCAGCCATGCAAGCTGCAAGCAAGCCATTTTGTCCCAAAGTCTGACTCCCAAGATTGAATAAGAATGTAACAAAAGATGTCAAATATCTAATACTAACAACATAAACTTTCTCAATTTTGTGGATTCTGTCTCTGAGAAGCATTGAGCTGCTGAAATCAACAAAATTGCTCGCAGATGTGGTCTCCGCTCACACAATAAACCGTGGCAAATTAAGCAAATACGAACCTTTCTCTATTACTATTACAGTCGTACCTGAGCAAATCCAATATTCCGCTCCTTCGACCTGATGTAACGCACCTTCATTCAGCCAAATGAAAGATGTGGCCAAGCGTGAAAATATATTTTACACTTAGAATTCTTTTCATTAGTGTTTTTAATGAGTTTTTTAGCAACACTTTTACGTATCCACAGCTAAAATATTTACTCACGGCTAAAGATTTTTAGTTTCTATTGATACACGACCTCAGTTTTTTTTATTTAAGAGTTTGACTGAATAGTAATACAGTAGAAGTTTTTGCCCTAAAACGATAAAGGCAAATAATTATGTATGAGTTTATTATAATATCTAAACAAGCATGCCCTTTCAGCCCTTTATTATTGTTCAAATTTCAGTTAAACATACAAAATAACGGTTCCCCGCACCTTTTATGCATCTAACCCTAAAAAGTACATAACAAACGAAAGTATGAACCCATTCAAAGGGAGAGCGTTCAGAAAATAATTATTTGTCGTTACGCACCTCTGCCACCAGAACTTTTAGACCTCTGATTTCCCTTCGATGCTGCGTTTTGGTACCGCGGAATAATGACTCGAATGATACTGGCGGGTCTAGGGACGCTGGTCGTGTGCTAGTTCACGCACACTGCGCCTCATAATTGACGAAGAATTGACAGAACAGCCATCCCAATGCTGTATATTGAGCACTCTTATACTATACCTACATAATAATATCATTTTACATTACATATTATCTATATTTTCAACGGGACTTATACCACTACACTTTCCCACCACTGCAATTCCTGTATAGTTTTAACTGATTGTTGATTTTTCTTGAAACCTTTGTATGCACGACTCTATTGATTAACAGCTTCTACATTATAAAACCTACTCTTGATCTTTGTAATATTAATTGAGCTAATAATACCCACTTACTTTTTGTATGGGAGAAAAAACATGAGTTAGAATTATAGACCACAAAAAATTCATTAGTATGTAGTTACCTTTTTATTGATTAATGAATGGTTCGTCACCCATGTGCACTGGCTTAACTAACTAGTCTACGTAATTGCTTATTGCGTTTCGGTACGCACTCGGAATTGCGTTTGGATTTGAAACGGTATTTACTTTCAATCGCGGGAGTCGAGACCATCAGCGATCGTTGTTTTTGTTTACGCTACTGGGAGATCTTGGGAGGTTTTAGAGTGATTGTGTTTCGATGTAGAAACAATGATATGTATATCATCTTTTTAATATAATATGGTTTATTCTGTCTGATTGACAGACATCTAAGTGACTAAAAAATTCTTGGGATAAATTCGGAACAGTTTTGGAATAGAATAACTGCCCGAGCTCATTATCCTTTTTCAAATGTCAACTGAAAACTTTCCTAAGATTTTAAACTTTTGCGTTCCATTTCAACTAAAATAGTCAGACACGCGTATTAATGAGTTACATTATGTACTCACGGCTTGACGTTTCGGCTACGATGCTAACGTCGCCTTAAGACCCGTGTCTTACTATTTTAGTTGAAAACTTTTCACTGTCCTACGTACAAGAGGGTGTCTTTGGTACCTCAGTGATAAGTTTAGTTTTATGAGCATCGTATCTTGTACACAACTGCAGTTTGTTCAGTGTTCACTCCACATCCACGGCGTTTAGGGCTTATTTGCTCGATGCTACTTGACTTTGATAGTCCCTGCTTCGTCGTGTCATTCAAGTATACGTGTACTCTTGTTCATTAGATTGTATGTGAACCAGATTAAGGATGTTATGAAGATTTTCCTAAGTTCGCACAGAGCGCACGCGTCTGCCCACGCGCGAACAAGAGCTTGTTACCCTCGTAATCAACGCGAACTCACTGCTCTAGCTGCTAAGACTGCGCGGACCGTAGAATGAGCTTTAAGCTCTTACTTATATTTTCATTATCTACTCTTATATTTTATCTCTACCTACTAATAATTATGTCTGAAAATTATGTGCGATAAAAGTTCAACAGACTTTCGATCTTACTAAAATAAAAACCAAATATTTTCGCATCTTCACCTCTCAAAAGTTTCAGACCTTTTACAAAAATAGCTTCTTTCTTGTTTGACAATACCAAGCTACTGAACCTAATACTTCACTTGTTGTCCCTCCATGACCAAACACAACTCCACGAAACATTTATTTTCGAACACCCCATATTGAGTGAAATATTTGGCTTTCTCTTCCAACTTGCACCGCTCCTTATGTCAACTGTAAAAGGGAGTAAGTAAGTTGAAAATAGCTTATTTATTTATTGATAAAGGTACACCAACAGCAATACACATTCTTTCTTTTGTGTGAAAATACCAATCTACTGAACCTTAATACTTCACTTGTTGTCCCTCCATGACCAAACACAACTCCACGAATTTATTTTCGAACACCCCATATTGAGTGAAATATTTGGCTTTCTCTTCCAATTTGCACCGCTCCGTATGTCAACTGTAAAAAGGAGTAAGTAAGTTTAGCGAGGACTGAGCGAGTCGGCCTGAGAGGCCTCTTGCGCTAATATCTGTCTGCTCTGACGGGAGCCTCGAGACCGTTTCAGGAATTTCTGCCAACCTAATAAAGTATTTATTTGAGTGGGAAACCTTTGTTATTTAACCATGTAGGCAGTCATGTGAACATGTAAAATACAGAGAGAGATGTACGTCATTGTATACCAAGGAATTCATAAAAGTTTATTTATAAGTACTTACTCGTACGTATTGTGTGTACTGTTTCAACAGAAATCTTACTTTAATTAATTAACTAACTTACGTAATTTATGAAGCGAATGTAATTTTTCTAGATATTCATACCTACTCCATGTTGCTTTAAAATTCGTTAAGAAGACTGTCCTTATTTTACGTTTAGTGAAAGTTCTGTATAATATAAGAATTTTTCATAACTACATAATATTTCGTAATTTTAATATAAAACAAAGAATTCAAAACTCCTTATTTGTAGCTTCATATTTTCTAAGCTGATATTTAAATGATAATAAGACTTTTTTCATTATTACGCCTGTGGCAGATATTTATAAAATAATAAGTGGTTTTTAGGTATTAATTAGCTAGGTCTATATAAATAATTGACTATCCTACTGACATTAGTCCCCTGTGGAATTGGAATCCACAAGTGATCTCCCAGACCAGGCACGTGTTGATACCATCCATAGAGATTTTCTTGTACCTAGTATGCTTGTGCAAATCGATCTAAAATCTCACATTTTCCCTAGTATTGTCGAAACTGTGAATTCTGGTAACAGGAGTCTTTCCTCACCATTCCATTTTACCATTTCCCATGGGAGTTTCCAAAAACCTTTTCATGTAAGGTGACACCAAGCCGGAAATCCATGTTGGAAAGNATATTCACCCATTTCTTACCTCTTATGTCAGTCCTAATGAGGTGCTCCCTGTCTTGTCCGTCCAGACCAATGCTGTCGATGCAGAAGATTTTGTTTTCCTCGTTTACCATTATTGCCACAAGCATTTTCCTGTATAATTAAGAACATTCAAAACTAAAATTAAGAAAAGAACTTACACTTTTCGATAAAATAAATGAATCTTTTGTAAAAACAACTTATTTTTTTCTGCGAAATTTTGTACTTATGTTCATGAAATGAGGGATTTCGCGATTGAAAAATCCGCCAGATGGCAATACGTAGACGCGAGGTCCTAATGCTGCATGATTGGTGGATTTTGACATAGGTACTTATCTGTCTATGTCAATCGCGAAAACCCTCATTCTTTAAATCTTCTCATTTCCATATTGAAGGCCAGTTATAGATAGATAGCCACGGGCCTAAGTTTTTGTAGAAACTGAGGTTTTCGATCAAATCTGTACATTTATCCACTAAAAAAGTTCTGAAATGGTTCGATGTCCTCAAAATAAAGTAAGCGAACATCAAGCCTCCTCAACCTCTGTTCAGGTTGAGGACTGTAGACCAAATCCTCAAATTCAAATTCAAAATCTTTATTGCATTCTATGTTGTACATAAGGTCTTAAACAATATATTGTATAGTCTCAAACATAGACCCGGTTTGGGCACAGCAACATTTTGCTCCTTTTGCCTCTGCTAAATTAGAAAGGGATATGCTTCTGCAGTGGGGATGACGTTGTCCCACCAGTGTTGAAATCCTTGGGGGAGGCCTTTGTCCAGCAGTGGACGTCAATCGGATAAAAAGAGCAAGCTAAGGCTTCCACAGACCAAACGCGGGTCAGAAGCAGTGCGGGTCAGTTGCAGCGCGGCTGAGGCACACTGACACCCGTATTCACAAACGATGCTTGCTTAAGTGAAGCAGCAAATCGAACGCACAGCGTTGAATAGAGCTCTGTGATTGGTACATGTGTCACCCTTTGCGTCCACTCGCACAGTGAGACCTTATAGTAATGTTTGTGAATACGGGCGTGAAAGCAGAGCAGTTTCAAAGCAGTTGCAACGCGGTTGTCAAAAATTTAAATATTCGAAAACCGCTTTCAACGCGCTGCTACCGCCCTGCGCAGCTGCGTCCTGTGTGTCATGCTAATATGGCCGCCATAGTATTAATACAACAGCGCGGGCCCGCGCTCGCGCCGCTTCTGTCCCGCACCCGCGCCGCCTCGTTTGTCGTTCGGCAGTTGCAGTGCGGCGCGAGTGGAGCGCGGGCCCGCGTTCAAAAGACAATGCCGGAAATTGGCGTCTTTTTTTTTTCGCGCGGCCATCGACCAAACTTTGTTTTTTGATTACAAAATAGTGTAATAAACCAAACTTACTATGACATGTATACCTCTAAACTCAGTCTGAACTGAGTTACGAGCATTAGAAGTTTGATGATTTTCATACTAGATTTGCTTTTTGCGCGCAAGTTTTGTAAGAAATTGCAACAAAATATTGCGCTATTTTTTTATTGCGCTGATTCTACTCCACACTGATGTCTGGAGCCTTTAATGGATGGTATTGTTTGTTTACACATACAATGTCACTATTTTGTTGCAATTTCTTACAAAACTTGCGCGCAGAAAGCAAATCTAGTATGTAAATCATCAAACTTCTAATGCTCGTAACTCAGTTCAGACTGAGTTTAAAGGTATACATGGCATAGTAAGTTTGGTTTATTACACTATTTTGTATCCAAAAAACATGGTTTGGTCGATGGCCGCGCGAAAAAAAAAGACGCCACTTCCATACAAAATCTGGCATTGCCATTTGGTGTGACACACTTCAAAGAGTTTCTTGTATTACAATTTCGCGGGCCCGCATTCAAACTGCGCTGCTACTGCCCCGCGTTTGGTCTGAAGCCTTAGAACTTATGAAAAGCAACAGACCCATAATCCGGCATGACGCAGATGCTGACGGGTGTCTCGTCTTCCGCGAACCTGAACAGCAGCGCCCTCTGCTGGGTGCGGAGGGAAACCACCTCGATGAAGTGCCGTCCAGCGTCCACCAGGTATAAGGAGTCGGTGACGTAGTCTAGGGGAGCAAACGAACACAGACTTTTGAGCAAAGATAAACCTAGTTTATTATGAATACATGAAGAAAAGTGATAACTATTCATCATAGAAATAGGATGCAAGTTCGTAGTCGATCCCATACAGCAGCGGCAACGATGTGTCGTTACATCACTACTAGTTTCTATGTATTTCTATGAAATGAGACATGTATAGGCTCCTTAAGAGCATTTGACGATTTGCAAGTACTAATTTAATTAGTCTAAACAAATAAAGGAAATTTTGATTTTGATTTTGAAATAGCATCCTAGAAATCATATAAAATCAACATCATAGAAAAGTGTGTTCACAGAAATACATAGAAAGTCACGGCAGTGACAAGTTGTCTTGCTGCTGCTGCATAAAATACTCCATAGAGTCGGCTAAAAATTTGCACATATAAAAATAAATTGTCACCATCTTTCAGACAAAAGAAAGTGTTTGATACTTTTATGGGACAATCAGTGTCCTCTTTCCTTTAGGAAAAGGGTGTTCTTGTTCCAAATACCCAGGGCCTCCAATAAGTTAAAGAAGGCCTGAGTTCCCCTATTCCGGCCAGTGAAGAGTGTAGAGGTTAAATTCTTCACTATGGAAAATTAGAGGGGCGAGCTTCTCCAGAGGAAACTAAATGACTTGATGACGAATAAGCTCATTTGAATTAATTTTATTAATGTTACATTACGAGGTCATCTGTCTACTTAACAGGTGAACGTCATGCTGTGCTTGCCGTTGGATGCAGGCCGCTACCAACCGGCCAATCTGGAAATCATTTAGGTAGGCCTATGTTCAATGGACGTCTTGCGGTTGAAATGATGATGATGATGGTGTGACTTACCGTAGTCCATATCAACGATGTCCTCCAGCCCTTTCAGCAGGAACAGGTGCGTGATCCCGAGCGTGAAGTCACTCATGTTGATGTAGTTGATGGTCTTGCGCTGGCCGTCGTAGATGTACAGCGTGTCTGGACAACAGAAGTTATTTAACCAGGGGGGCAGAGAGGGGCAGCTCCAAGGAGCCTTGGGCGTACGGTAAGGTAAGGCTCCTGATTTGAAATAACTAAGTAAAAGTATCAACTAAGTCAAGACGTGGTCGCTTACTGTGAGCCTCATTAGAAGACTCAAGGTCACCCAAAGGGCGATGGAGCGTGCTATGTTCGGAGTTTCCCTGCGTGATCGAATCAGAAATGAGGAGATCCGTAGGAGAACCAAAGTGACTGACATAGCCCGCAGAATCGCTAAAATCAAGTGGCAGTGGGCGGGGCACATACCTAACTCGTAGAGGTGATGCCGCTGTGGCAGGAAAGTTCTTGAGTGGCGACCACGAGTCGGAAGACGTAGCGTGGGCAGGCCTCCCACTAGGTGCACCGACGATCTGGTAAAGGTCGCGGGAGGTGCCTGGATGCAAGCGGCGCAGAACCGGTCTTTCTGGAAATCCTTGAGGGAGGACTTACTAACATAATAATGTAAAAAGTTAAGTTAAAAAAAGTTACCTCTTGTATTATCATAAGCCATCGCCTGAACGCGTCCGATATCAAAGTGCGTGGTGTGGACCTCGGGGTTGCCTAGGCTGTTGTAGTCCAGGCGCGAGAAGAAAGACCCTCCTCCCACCACTAGGTAAAGGGGGTGGTAGTCTTCTTTGACTGAAAGAAAAAGTACCTAATTAGCTTTTCCAGCGACTTCATTCGCGTGAATTTCGGCCTGTCACAGAAAGATTGTTAAGCCTTGATCACACGTACCGAGTAAACTGGCGAGACAGTAAAATGTTTACTCGGTCGAGAGTGTTGGGTGAGCGAGTCACATACTCGAGCGCTCGGCCGAGCACTCGGCCTAATGTTTATACACACCGAGTACTCGCCCGTTTGCTCGGTACGTGTGATCAAGGCATTATGCGCGTGACCACCTTTCAAAAACCTGGAAAAAACTATCAATATTTTTATCCTGGGTCTGAAACTATCTCTAAATCTCAATTTCATATAAATTGGTCAGTGGTTTAATATTATTTAATTAGAGACTGACAGAATCATAGACACAGTTAAAAGTACTTTTGCATTTATGATAAGTAACTATCTAGTTATTTAATTTATAGCGTTAAGAGTCGCATCTCAAACTACTTAATTTGAAAATTTCAAGTAATTTTTTCAAGTTATTTATAATTTTCAAAGTAACTATCTACTAGTGATACTACACAACATAATTATTTAACGAACTACTTAAGGCTGGGTTGCACTATTTTACTTTAACTGTGACAAACGTAAAAAATCTGTCAAACTCCATACAAAAAACACCGGTTATCGTTAAAGTTACGGTCAAAGTTAGGTGGTGCAACTTAGCCTAAGGCATAGAGTTGGTGAAGTTAGGGCTTGTAGAGTTAGTGTTCCGTGTACCTACCATGAGCTTACGTTAGGTGTGCTCGCTAGCGAAAACGTCAAAAATCTCTATGGGGATTTTGTTTCTTGAAAGTAGCCGCTAGAGGCGCTGCATAATATGTCATACAATTAATGACATTTTTTTACGCAGTCGCTAGCGAGCACACGTAACGTAAACTCATGGCAAGCACACCGTAGAGTTAGAAGCTTGGCACTATAAGTCTGGTCGCTGAGCACGTAGAGTTTTGTACGTGCTCAGCGACCAGACTTATAGTGCCAAGCTACTAAAAATAAAATTCTACGTTCTCAGCGGACCTTACAGGGATATACTTTTTGACAGTGGGAGCTTTATGTTCTCTTCTTGGCAACATTTACAAGAAAATGTTTTTCGTGGGATTGATTATAGAGGCTTAATAAAACGATTGACCCTCTTTATTACATGGGCATCTATACTAACGTTCGCAATTGTTCCCATGCAGCACCATGCCGGTGGGGCAAGCGCAGGTCACGGTGGTGTTGGTGACCCTAAGACAAAGGTGGGAACAGGTCGCGTTGGCGCATGGGTTGTGTATATTCGCGTACAGCACTGGGTGGTATATGTGCATATCTGGAAAAACAAAATCTTTATTAGCATGCAGGCCGCTTCCTCAATCTGGAAATCACTGGAGGAGACCTGTGTTCAGCAGTGGACATTAAAAATTGATTATGTTTTGCAAGGATGCTCCCAAAGAGTAATTTTACACGCCCCTCTGTCTCTGCTTCGGGACAGTAAAGGCCAGTGCTGCGACGAAGCAGCGCAAGAAACTCAGTCACTATTGGCTGAAATGATGATGCATGAACACAGATATACTTAAGGCCTCTCCCACTCGGTGGACCGATGATCTGGTGAAGATCGCGGGAAGCACATAGACCTGTCGATATGGAAAATTTGGAAGAGGCCTTTGTCCATCAGTCATTTAGCTGAAAAGAACAAACAAAACCACAATAAGTGACTAGTCGTACCATAGATCGGAGTGTCCAGAGTGATGAGCATAGACCTCTTGGATGAGGGGCCGTGCAGCTTGTCTATGGTCTGGATGCTGTTGGACGTCCAGTCGCTCCAGAAGATGGTATTCTCAAACACCGCGATGGCGTACGGATGGTGGAATGGCTCCTCGAAGAGTGACTGAGGAACATAAATAAATAAAATAAATAAATATCCTTGGACATTTTACACTGCGCCTCTAGTCCCAAACAAAGCTTGTACTATGGGTACTAGACAACACATAGCTACTTAAATACTCTTTTTTTTTAATACATACATATTAAACATAGAAAACACATACCGTTATTGTAAACATGATTAGCCAGATAAAAAAACATACTGTTAGAGCTGGGACTTTTAATTCTAGGCAAAAACGATAGCGCTAGTTTAGTTTTTAACGGACTTCGAAAAAGGAGAACGTCTTATATTCCATAGCTAATAATACATGGATACAAGCCGCCAAATCATTGTCTGTACTTACTTTTTTGAAAAAGCAACCAGTTTTTCGATATCTTGTATAGTTTTTAAAATTTTGTGTCTTTAATAATGGAATCTGGAAACATTGAATTTTCGAAGTTTGTTCAGTTCATTCTGTAACCTATTATTGATACCGTTTGATAGAGCTCGTGAAGCTCTTTCAGGATTTTCATTATCCAGTTTTTTGATATTTTGTTAGTTTAGAAATAATCGTGTGAGATCGTGGAGCACTTAACATCAGGTGCGATTGTGGTCAAATACCTGCCTTGTTATGCATAAAAAAAGAGTACTTTCATCATTATGAAAGTTTTTTGATATTTTGTATTAATTTAGGAATAATCGAGTGAAATCACTGTCGTTTCCACCCTGTATACTCACGTAACCCTGCCTGCTGTCCAGTTTGAACACCTTGATCGTCTTGTCCACGTAGTACAGCCGTCCGTTAGGGATGTCCAGGGCTAGTCCTGTGGCGAAGGTGTGTAAGCTGTCGATGAGGACCTCGGGCTGGGAGCCGTCCATACGAGCCATCATGATGAGGGGTCTGTGGTGCCAATCTGCCCAGTACATGGTCCTAAAAAATTTACACCATAAACTTCGGACACCAAGCAACTGCACTCAGGAGGATTTGATGAGTGCTACTGACAACGCCACTCTTGTGGCGGAGTTTTGGGCTGACACTGTGTAGGTTTGTTGTCGACACGAAAAGAAGAAGAAGAAGACACCATAAACCAATGATTCTAGGACATAGCTTCTTTAGAAAAAAAAAAAGAAACTTCAATTTGATGTAAAATTCAATTTTTATTAGCTAGCTTTGAAATTAATAAATAAGTAGTCAATAGCGCTCGCTAAACGTCATGTTTTTCCTGTACAAAAACGATGGGAGAGCTTTGAAAGCTTATAAAAATGGACATACCTAGACATAGAAAAACACTTCAATTGAGAATTGACTTTCTAGGAGGTCTTTCTTTAACTTTCCTAGCGTAGACTTGGCGTCACTCTGACTGATGTTGACTCGGCGTCGCGTCGCTTCGGCGTTACTAGAGCGTCGCTTAGGTGCTACCCCTGGCTAATAAAGCCCAATCAGTCTAGGTATATGGGGTAAAGTTATGTCGGTAGAGAAAATATATTTCTAGCAGTCTTTTTCATAACATGGGCTGAAATATTAAGAAAACATAGCTCAGGCGTCTCTACACTACGGAGTTGCCCAGGCGTCGCTACGGAGTTACCCTAGCGTTCCTTACGTTACGTTATGAACTGATACTATTGTATAAACTGATTTGATTTCATTTCCTTAACGTTTTTAAAGTTTCGGCCAAACCAACGTGATCACACGCGATCAGCCGGCGTGCAACGATGGCGTTCAATGCATTTAATTCTGGTCGCCATCGCTGCACGCCGGCTGATCGCGTGTGATAGCGTTGGTTTGGCCGAATCTTAAACTGATGCTGAAAACAGAACAAACGCTACATTGCTAAATTAGAAGCATTGTAGCGTTATGTTCTGATGATGTGCAATGTGTATTCTCTTACCCGTTCTTAACATCAAGGGTGACGAATCTGGGCTGTTTCGCGTTAGTGTGCAAGTTAGTGCACATGGAGCCGTCAGTGCGACAGACGGAGATGGCTCCCCTTTCCACATCACTGAAGTACAGGTGTCCCCCCAGCCAGTCTATGGCGATGTCGCCCGGGTCTTCCAAGCCAATACTCACTAGCACCTGGAAATAAGATTCAAATAAATACGATGTATTTAGTTAGGTAGATATTACCTAGATAACGCTCAAAACCTGTGGACTATAAATGTTGGCTAATTCAATTAGTTTACACGAATAAAGATAATTTTAATAAATCCGAGACAGCGATGATTTCAAACACTTAGAGCGCTTGTAGACGTCCGTTTTTTCACCGGACGACGGACCGTCAAAAAACGGATATCCTTTGTTTGCTGTCAATTTCCTTGCCGGACCTATGTCCGATGCATGTGCACACGTTCATTATAAACCATACGCCACCGCTTAATCCGGCAAAAAACACGGTCCGTTATCCGGTGAAAAAAACGGATGTCTACAAGCGCTCTTACCCCTTTTTACTAATAAAACTTGTTGAACAGTGTGACGTTTAGTATGGAAATAGCATTGGGTTTTAAAAACGGTGTTCAACAAGTGTATAATTACCTTTTTAGGGTTCCGTAGTCCTGACAAGGAACCTATAAGGGTTCCTATATGTCTGTCTGTCTGTCCGAGGTTTTTCTTGGAAACTTTTATTGGTAAGGGGGTTCTAATAAGTTTTTGAATGTTGTTTAACTATGGCGGTTTAACATTGTATGATATCTACCCGTAGTTATACAGATACTAGCTTTCCGCCCGCGGCTTCGCGCGCGTGGACTACATTTCTTTGCTATAAACCTCACGGAGCCCGAGACCTTTCCAACGAATGCAAAACCGTGGAAATCGGTTCGTGCGTTCTGGAGTTATAGCGTCAGGGAGGAAAACCCGACTTATTTTCAACCGACTTCAAAAAAGGAGGAGGTTCTCAATTCGACCCGTATGTTTTTTTTTTTCTATGTTTGTTACGCGATAACTCCGCCAATTACGAACCGATTTGAACAAATCTTTTTTCGGCGTATAGGTAATACCTCAAGGGTGGTCCCATTTAAAGGACATTGGGACATTTAATATGAGAAAATGCCCCACGGCGGACAAAGATGAAACGTATTTTATTTCAAAGCTTTATACTTGTAGGTATATTCACTTAAAGCGCTATGTTGTGAGATATGGGAATTCTGAGATATGACGAGTCTAAGTTGAAAATATATTTGTCTAAAATGATTTGATATTTTTACATGTTATGTTGTTTGGCATTGCAGAGTAACCAATAAAAGTAAATAAAATAATATAAATAAATAAAAAATATAAATAAAATAATATAAATAAATAAAATATTATAAATACTTAAATTAATATTAGACAACATCTCATATATTACTCCAACCCAAAATAAGTAGCTAAGGCATTTGTGTTATGGAAATCGGGAACGACGAACCACAACACACCCAAACCAGAGACAATGTGAAAAGATCGTTTTCTATATTGTCCCGGCCGGGAATCGAACCCGGGACCTCAGGATTGGCCCGGCACACTTTGAAAACCGGTGTGTGCGCCTCTCCGCCACCGAGGTCGTCAAAAATGTTACCTAAATGTAAATTAAAACTTCATAATTAAAACTTCATTTTCTCAATATTCCCATATAAGAGAGAAAAAAAAATGCACGGAAATTCATTGGATATTAGTATGTATCATCTGTGATAAGTTTCGTTTGTGTCCGCTACTTTTCGAAAAGTGGGGCAAAAAGTTCCCAATGTCATTTAATAATAGAAAAAACAACCCCCAATGGTGGAAATTTGGGGATGAACTTTTTTATACGCAATCTCTCCGCCGATTATAAATCAATTTGAACGATTATTTTTTTGTTGAATAGGTATTATCAAAAGGGTGGTTTCATGCGAATTTGAAGAAAATATTTCACCCCCAAGGGTGGAAAATTGGGGATGAACTTTTTTATACGCAATATTTTTAATTTTTAGTTTTTTTTTGTGTTCACGCATTTGAAGTCGGTTTTAATTTTTTTTAAAGTTAATTATATAGTAGATAGTTAAGTGTACTTACTTGCTTGGTCTTTGCGAAGTCGTCCAGCTGCGCCCGCATGATAGCTTGGTGCCCCTGCTCCGTCTGCACCCAGTACACATATGTACCGTCGTAAGATACACCGTGGGCCTGCCACAAAAATATATAAATAAATAAATAAATATCCTTGGACATTTTACACTGCGCCTCTAGTCCCAAACTAAGCAAAGCTTGTACTATGGTATACTTGTATATTGGTTTTAAAACGTATCAAATATAAATCTATACAGTGTGAGTCACGTTAAAGTGTACATATGAAAATAGATAAAACTAGACCTGTTTTTATCGACAAAAAAGAGGTCAAAAATTTTTTGAGATTTTTTTTTATTTTTTATAGAATTTTTTTTCTTCCAATTACTTATTGTAAAGAAAACGTAATAACTTTTAAACTAAGCGGTATATCCTAATAAAATAAAAACAGTAATAATGCTAAATAACAGGCGATACTAAAAAAATACATAAAATACACAAAAAATGCCAACAAATAATAAAAAATGATACTTTTTGAAAAAAATCTGCTTAAAAATTCGTGTTTTTTTGGTTATTTGATAAATTTCTCCAAAAAATGCCCCTATAACCGGTGGTTTTTATTACTTTGTATTATTCTCTATCGTATTATCTTTGTAAAACCAAAAATCGCATGTCTCTATCCCTATCACAACATTTGCTATGATCGTTTGAACAAAGGCCTGCCACAACATTATTCTCCGCTACAGGTAGAGACAATTTTAATTTTAACTAAAATGCTTATTTTACTTCGAAATCTTATGTTTTTATTTGAAATCTAACTTGTCTTTATCAAAATTACAAATCTAGAGCCATTTTCAGTTTTGTTGTTAACGAAGCGTTGAATGGCGCGCCCGGAGAGGCTTAGTTCAAACGATCATTGCAAACGTTGTGATAGGGATAGAGACATGCGATTTTTGGTTTTACGAAGGTAATACGATAGAAAAAAATACAAAGTAATAAAAATCACCAGTTATAGGGGCATTTTTTGGAGAAATTTATCAAATAACCAAAAAAACACGAATTTTTAAGCAGATTTTTTTCAAAAATTATAATTTTTTATTATTTGTTGGCCTTTTTTGTGTATTTTATGTATTTTTTTAGTATCGCCTGTTATTTAGCATTATTACTGTTTTTATTTTATTAGGATATACCGCTCAGTTTAAAAGTTATTACGTTTTCTTTGCAATAAGTAATTGGAAGAAAAAAAATTCTATAAAAAATAAAAAAAAAATCTCAAAAAAATTTTGACCTCTTTTTTGTCGATAAAAATAGGTCTAGTTTCATCTATTTTCATATGTACACTTTAACGTGACTCACACTGTATACAGATTTTTTTCAAAAAGTATCATTTTTTATTATTTTTTGCCATTTTTTGTGTATTTCATGTATTTTTTTAGTATCGCATATTATTTAGCATTATTACTGTTTTTATTTTAACAGGATATACCGCTCAGTTTAAAACTTATTACGTTTTCTTTACAATAAGTAATTAGAAGAAAAAAAATCAATAAAAAAATTTAAAAAAATCTCAAAAAAAATTTGACCTCTTTTTTGTCGATAAAAATAGGTCTAGTTTCATCTATTTTCATATGTACACTTTAACGTGACTCACACTGTATATAAAAAAAAGTCGTGTTAGTTACTCCACTTATAACTCAAGAACGGCGGAACCGATTTAGCTGAAAATTGTCAGGGAGGTAGTTTAGAGCCAGGAGAAGGACATAGGATACTTTTTATCCCGTTCGAAATTAAAAAAATGTCTGCTTATTTATTGCCATTAAGGCGGAACAAAGTTCGCCGGGTCAGCTAGTTATTTATATAGAACATTTTTCAGGGCACCTATACACGTTTAAAAAATGTTTTGAATACGTTTCAAAGGCGCTGAAAAGAAGTGAAAGAAATTCAGTCACATTTCATTTAGACAATATTCCTTAAATTCACTCTGATATTCGAAATAGCTTCGCTCCAGCTGAAAACATGCTGAAAACTTATCTTACGAGTACATGGGACTTTGTTAACGACTGCATATTTTTCGAACAAATAACGATAGAGTTATGTAAAACCAGAGGTAGGTAGGTATAATTGATTAATTTCGGTAATAATTTCAATAAAAATTGTTTCCTTATCTTCAATATTAGTTTCAAAAAGGGTTGTGAAATTAGGGTTCATTAGCTAATTAAGGTAGGTACTAAATAGGTAACACTTAGTCACCTTAGAACACGTCACTCAGTAGGTAAGTAATTACCTAATTATCACTTAAAGTCCATTAATACCCTAATTATCGTATAAGCTAAACAATTCTCTTATCGAGCTTTTTAGCTAATTATCATGATTAAGTGGAAGTTTTTAAGTGTTCATTTTAAATCCTTTTACTGAACACTTTCCCTAAGTATTTCTAGGAATTAGGTAATTAATTTTTTAACCGTAATTTCTCTGCTTAATGAGTTAATTCCATTGTTACTATTTTTTTTAGAACTGATTCATTAGCGATGGCTTTCCATCGCTAATAGTAGTAATCGATTGGTATAATTAATGAGTGTAGGTACTTCTTTAAATATTAGTTACAAATTATAATTTAACATGTGTTAGGTAGGTAATCATTTTAAATTATTTATTTATTTATTATTATTATTATAAATGCGAAAGTTTGGGTGTCTGGATGGATGTTTGTTACTCTTTCACGCCAAAACTGCTCAATCATTAGAGTATTTTCTTTATGACCCAGAATAACATATTATACGCTATAAATTATGACGATAATATGTGACAAACTAAATTTCATAATAATACTAGCTTTCCGCCCGCGGCTTCGCCCGCGTGGAATTTTGTCTGTCACAGAAAAACTTTATCGCGCGCGTCCCTGTTTCAAAAACCGGGATAAAAACTATCCTATGTTCTTTCCCGGGACTCAAACTATCTCTATGCCAAATTTCATCAAAATCGGTTGCGAGGTTTAAGCGGGAAAGCGTAACAGACAGACAGACAGACAGACAGACAGACAGACAGAGTTACTTTCGCATTTATAATATTAGTTGGGATAAAATGTAGTACTTAGTTAGCTAGCTGCCGACAGAAAATCGGTGTTATAACAATACATAAACCTGTGTCTTTCTTTTAACATCTTAATATCGTTGTATATGTATCGTATAACACGTGCATAGTAAAACACTGACAAATTCAACAAAACGGTCATTACAATATTCACAGAACTGCATGCTATAAACTTTTACCAAACCTTTTAACAATAAAAGGAGTCCTATTTTTTGTAACAAATGAGTTGAATAGATAAAGATAATGGTTTCAAAGAGTTAAGATTTGGGCGCGTGGTGTGGCGTGGTGTTATCAATACAATAGATTATTACTAATGACCTGGCTGCCAGATAGGGGCGCTAAGTAGAGATTAAGATTTCAGATAGGGGTAAGTAGGTACTAGTTATGGGAAGTGATTCTAGATACTAAGCAGATAACTAAACCCTAATTTAATTTACAATCTATTAAAAAATTCATTAAATTACTTTCCATCTAGGTACATCAATCAATGGGTAAGGGGGTAACTTATTAATTAAGAGCGTTTACGCCGATTGGCGCAAAAACAGTACTTTTTCAACTCGTTACAATCATTAACCAGTAATATTACAAATATGTTATAGGCATAAATAGTTAGGCAATTTCGTCGTCTAAATAGTTAATTGAGAAAATATTGCGATTAGTTTAGTATTTAAGAATTCTATCAAGATAAGTCCACACAGGTTTTGTAAATTTCCACTTTAGCGTCAGTTTACAAGCTGAATTTTTTATAAAAATACTGTGAAAACGATTTAACAAACATTTATATCCTATAGCATAGATCCTTGGGCAAATAGTTATCTGAGAAAATTTTTAGATTTAAGCATTTTTCAATAAGAAATCACAAATTAAAAAAACGTGAAATACCCAAAAATCAAAGTGATTTTTACACCATTATTCTTCTTTAATTCAACATAAAAATAGCTTAATATAATAAAATAACATCTTCTTTAAAATATTTACTTTGAAAAGATATATAATTCATTGTTATTGTTTTGCTATAAACATTTGGAAACTATTAAAAAACGCCGCGCGCGAATCTTTTCCAATGATGCCCCTTGAAACGCCGCGCTTCGCGTAAACGCTCTTAAATGACTTTGTAGATATCATAAATATAAATTAAAGTCGTAAATGAAAAATAATAATATAAGTTTGTTTCAAGCCTTCTACATTTTCAGGTTTAAGTATGAGTACCTACATCCATAATTAATTAAATTTTGATAGAGGCACTTGAAAAGGCTAAAGAAATATACTGTCCTTCAGTTATTAAAACTTTTAACGTTAAGAGTAGCATCTTAAACTCGTGGGTTCGATTCCCACCTTTACGCATCCTTTCCTCATGAACGCGTAGAGGTACTAATTAAATTGAAATGCGTACATATACATCAAACACGCAGGTCTATAATAGGTACCTTTAAGCTGTAACAAAATCAAAGGTTTGTTCGGAACTCTTGATGCGCGAGTCCGACTCGCACTTGGCCAGTATTTTTATTTCTCACATTTCAGTAGCCTTGGGATGCCAAGATGGGATCATCGAATCAATCAGTGCGTTTCTTTAACAAAATTTTCAAAAGATACCTAAGATATAGACGTTCTAGAGATCTCATGACATCATTGGTAATGTTAGCCAGTGGTCATGACCTTTAAGTCATGAGGGACCATTTTACCTTTCTATCTTGTCAGAGACCACCTCAATCGGTCACAACCAGTTTGACTGCAAAAATCAGTTAAAATTGGTTTTGACCAAGGTGTGCAAGTGCACTTCGTGGACCACTTGGAATGCCTCCAGGGACCACCAGTGGTAAGCTGACCACTGGTTAAGAACCACGGTGTTAGACCGACACGCAGAGTTCCATACAAATTACTATGGGCGGGTGACATTCGACGATTATTTAAGACACTTGTAACTTTTTTGTTTCCAGTCCGATTTCAATACTAGTTTTTCAGAAATCCTATGATTTATCTAAAGATAATACCATAATTTATTAACTTTTAAAATCGATGCATCCCTATACCTATCCCTTATGTACAGAAGAATGAATGCTCAAAAATCTAATTAATACTGATGTATTAATATTCTAAATCAACATGTCTTCCTATTTAGGATTTTTTAAATGGTCCCCGCGAACTATAAAGAAACCAAAGTAGTCCCTGAGGTGGAATTGTGTAAATCAATTGTAATCATTTGACAGTTCATAACGTACGATAAAGTCAGTAAAACAAAGCGTTTGACAGAATAATGTACGTTATGAACTGTCAAATGATTACGATTGCTTTACACAATTTCACCTCTGGTCCAGAAAATGTTGGGAACCACTGACGTGGCACAACTTTCACAACGTTATCAGTAAAAATGTATTGTTTACAAAATACCACGCGCTATAATCCTTATCTCTCAGAAACCATTATCTTGCGAGCTTTTTACCCCTCTCTTTCACACAACAGCCTTTAAGCTTTGCAAAATATTTGCTATCTCTTTCATTGTTTACATGCAGTTCTGTGAATGTTAACGACTTTATTGTTTAACCCTGTCGGTGTTAGTTATTCACGTGTTATTAAAAACACCACTGCAGTAGGTTAAAATGAATATGTACTATAAAGGAGAGTAATGTTTTTAATGGCTTACAGGACCCTACATGGTTTGATGCAGGTGTATGCGGTTTCATGGAAGAATTTAATTATTTTGTATATTTATAAATGATACAATTATCTACCAAAATACTATTTATTCATATAATATAAAGTGTGAGTCACGTTAAAGTGTACATATGAAAATAGATGAAACTAGACCTATTTTTATCGACAAAAAAGAGGTCAAAAAAATTTTAAGATTTTTTTTTTATTTTTTATAGAATTTTTTTTCTTCAAATTACTTATTGTAAAGAAAACGTAATAACTTTTAACTAAGCAGTATATTCTGATAAAATAAAAACAGTAATAATGCTAAATAACAGGCAATACTAAAAAAATACATAAAATACACAAAAAATAATAAAAAATGATACTTTTTGAAAAAAATCTGCTTAAAAATTCGTGTTTTTTTGGTTATTTTATAAATTTCTCAAAAAAATGCCCCCATAACAGGTGGTTTTTATTACTTTGTATTATTTTCTATCGTATTATCTTTGTAAAACCAAAAATCGCATGTCTCTATCCCTATCACAACATTTGCTATGATCGTTTGAACAAAGGCCTGCCACCACATTTTTCTCCGCTACAGGTAGAGACAATTTTAATTTTAACTAAAATGCTTATTTTACTTCGAAATCTTTTGTTTTTATTTCAAATCTAACTTGTCTTTATCAAAATTACAAATCTAGAGCCATTTTCAGTTTTGTTGTTAACGAAGCGTTGAATGGCGCGCCCGGAGAGGCTTAGTTCAAACGATCATTGCAAACGTTGTGATAGGGATAGAGACATGCGATTTTTCGGTTTACGAAGGTAATACGATAGAGAATAATACAAAGTAATAAAAACTACCGGTTATAGGGGCATTTTTCGGAGAAATTTATCAAATAACCAAAAAAACACGAATTTTTAAGCGGATTTTTTTCAAAAAGTATTTTTTTTTTATTATTTGTTGGCCTTTTTTGTATATTTTATGTATTTTTTTAGTATTGCCTATTATTTAGCATTATTACTGTTTTTATTTTATCAGGATATACTTATGTACACTTTAACGTGACTCACACTGTATACTATAATATCATATGATTATACAAATATGAATGATATTGCAACAAAAATGTAGGTTTATTCTGGTCGGGCTTTTGCTTTTTAATTTCTCTCTGAGATAGAGACGTGAGGTAATAATACTTCGTTAAAATGAAAAAAATAATATGGGTACATGCGTTCTGCTTTGCTAAATAGACTGATGACCTAACTTGCTGAAATAACTGAAAATTCTGATTTTTATTCCAGCTTCAGTAGAAGCTGTTGATATTTTAGGTAATTACTAGTAAAAAAATATACCTAATCGTTTTTATTAAATGAGAAATTATGACAACCTTTAGTTAGACCACAGAATAAGGACTAGCCTACTTCGTAGTTACACATAAGTTTAATACTAAATATAAAATTGGTTTATAATGTACTGTTCACGTTAGTTATAATTTTAATTACCTAATCCAAAATCCAAACTACTTACTTTTCTTATAAACATGAACAAAATTTAATGTATGTAGGTACCTTCCTACATTTAGTAGACCTACTTATTTAACAGTTTTATCCTTTGGTTTAACATAGACTTTTAATATTTCGATTATTTTTAATAAGCATAAGCAATTCGGATTCTTATAAATAAAATATAGATTCACTTAAACTATAGTTTGTTCCTATGTTATATCAATGATTATATTATATTTTTGAAAGTAAACAACCTAATAATTATACTACATAATTAAAAATTTAACAATATGGTTTGTTCTGCAGGTTCTGCTAGTAGTCTAAATTAATGAAATGATACATCATTCGACCCACATTAATTTTGATAGGAAAACTGAATAGCAATTGGTTTAGAACGTTTTTAAACCATTTGCATTTTCCGTTACGACTACAATTTTTCACATTATCATTAAAAATTCTAGTATAATCATTATAAATTCTAGTATTAATATTTTATATCAACCGCAAAATAAATTCAAATATTCAAAATACCACAAACAAACTTAAGCCTTTACTTTTCAGTTATTCAAAAAATACAACGTGCACATGGGTGAAAAAAAATTAATAATTTAAAATAAACCGAATGCACTCAGACGTAGAGTCCATAATTACCTACAAGCCTAAGCGAGCGGTGAGCCACGTGACCACACCGCCATCTTTGCGCGGGCGCCGCGCGCGCGTATAAATAGCCCCGCAGCGCTGCAGAGAGTCAGTATGCGATCAGCGCTCTTACGGGTCAGACGTCTCTACTTGTAGAGTTGTTCAACCAGTAGAAGTAGTAATCTTACTATTACAATTCGTGGATAATAATTTATTATTTCGACGTAATTGTGCTATAGTCAGTGTGCATAAATCTTTCGTGGGTGTTGGACGTTACGTGGTCCATAATTCGTTGATATTATTTCAACGAATTTGTGATATCGTCAGTGTGAAAAGATCTTCCGTGAGTTTTCGACGTTATATTACGGTCTTGTAAAAATATGTTGTCCGTTAATTTCAAAGTTACCTTTGTGGTGTTGAGTCTCATTTCGTGGTATTTGTCTATTAAACTCATTTGCTACGTCTCAGTGTTGAGCTGCCCCCGCTCTTAATCCGGTGGTAGAGTCACGGCTACCCTTCTCTTAGTTTGCCTTTAAATCAGTGTGTTTTCGGCAGTCGCCGCAGTATCACGCGGCTCAAGTATTTTCCATCTACAAAAGTTCCTCAATTCAGTGAAGTGTAAGTGGTGCTGGAAATTTGGACATTGGAGTATTTCTGGTGAGTAGCTACTGTGTGTTTTTATTTGTTCTTCCTTTGTAAAATACTGCGATTAAAATTCAGTTTAAGAGCCTTTGCTCTCGCGAGTCTAGGACTTCTTTAAATTAATTTTAAACGGCTTTCTTAATTTTTTTGATTTAAAATAATATTACTACGTATTTTAGTTCTAAAATTCATCTCTCTCTTAGAGCCTTTGCTCTCGCGGGTCAAGGACCTCTTTAAATTCATTTTAAACGGAATTCGTTACTTTTTTGGTTTAAAATTACGAAAATTACGGCGGTTGTATTAAAATCCCTCTTATGGATCTAAAAACTCTTTAAAATTCTTTTGAACGGCATTCCTTAACTTTTTGGTTTATTAATTAAATTGTTGCATATTTTTAAGTATTAAAATTCGTCTCTATTCTAAGAGCCTTTGCTCTTGCTGGAATAGAATCTATTTAAATTAATTTTTGGTTTGAAACGTTTGGTTTTCCTTTTATACGGCAGTTTTCAAACGGCTTAATATCCATTTTTAACATACTTTATTTCTTTAATACATACTTTAGTTAAGTTTAATGCGTGCGCTTGAGTTTTTCATTCAATCGGTTTCAACTACATCTCAGTTTTCTTTATTTTATAACATAATTTTTTTCGTTTCATTCGTAAGCTGGCGTTGTTTTACTGTTAAGTGTTTTTTGGTGTTTTAAGAACTTTTAACGTTATCGACTAAATATTTCAATACTTATTTTATTAATGAACAATTTGTGGCGTTTTTAACAGCATTCTCATGAAATAAGAGTGTCAACTGAAACAACGTATCTTAGCATAGTAAAGTGTTCATGATAATCGGTCCAAGTAAGAATACAATATGTTATATACGTTTCTTTACGTATTAGCTACTTTCCTTATGATTATTCTTGAAATTATAGATAGAGAATTTTTCGCTTTAATTCATTTTCTTTGTTCAATTTAATTTGTATCTTACGTGTAACTAACTAACTTTACTTTTTCTTAATTTTTTTACGACAATTACAATTATTTGCGTTATTATATTAACTTTCACGGTTTTTGTGGCGAATTTTTTTGAGTTTTATTTTTTAATGCTTCGTTTCTTTCCAAACATGAGATTTTTTATTTTTTTATGTTTATTACGGAAATGGCATTTTTGTCCATTGAAATCTTAGTTTTAATTCCTTCATTATTCATTTTTTCGTCAATTATTTTTGCTTCGTTTTTCCGAGCATGATTTTTTAATTTCTAACGTTTGTTGCGGAAATGGAATTTTTGTCCATTGAAAACTTACAATTTATTAATTTCTTCGTTGCTTATTTTTATGTATGATTTTGCTTCCTCGTCCCTTTCTTTACGAAAATTATTTATTACAATTATTTGCGTTTTCATTTTAACTTTCACGGTTTTTATGGCGAATGTATCATGTATCTTCTTTTGCGTCGATATTAATTTATGCTTCGTTTCTTTCCAAGCATGCGTTTTTTGATTTTTTAATGTTAATTACGGAAATGGCATTTTTGTCCCTTGAAATCTTAGTATTAATTCCGTCATTATTCATTTTTTGGTCAACTATTTTTGCTTGGTTTTTCCGAGCACGATTTTTTAATTTCTAATGTTTGTTGCGAATATGGAATATTTGTCCATTGAAAACTTACAATTTATTAATTTCTTCGTTGCTTATTTTTGTGTATGATTTTACTTCCTCGTCCCTTTCGATATTTTAATGGTTTTATTTCAAGATGAATCATAATTTGGATCTTATCATGAATTTCATCACTTATTGGCAGACCATCACTTTTTTCTAGCAAGTGTAAAATGGTAAGAACTTTTTTTCTTGAATCGTGTAAGTACACTCTTTGATTCAATAATCTCTACAATAATCTTAATTTTAAATTTTATACTGTGAAAACTTCTTCTAATTAGTTTAGTGGTTTTGTTTCAGGATCAGTTTCAACTTCGGGAGACTGATTACCACCAGCCTTTACTCTCATCATCATCATTCCCATCATCATCATTAGCATCATCACCCGGCGTCTAACAAAAAAAGATAAGTAATGAAACCAATCATAGCAATTTCAAAAATGTAATTATTTTGTATCCTTTTTTGCGAGTTATTTCTTGAATGTTGATTCCAAAATGTGTTACTAATTTATTTAGTGGTTTTGTTTCAGGATAAGTTTAATTTTGGAGAGCATTATGTTTTACAATTGCAATTCTCCAAAGTACCAAGAAGGCTTTCTTGATACCAGTATTTCAACCCATACTAATTCGTCTTCTATTACATCATTTTCATCCTTGACTTGACTTCTGAGTGACAGATAAGTAATTGATTTGATTTCCTTAAAGTTTTATTCTATAATTTAATTCCTATTTCTATAATGTTTTTACTAAACAATTTTAGTGGTTTTGTTTCAGAATGAAGACAAAATTGAGCCTGTGATCAACGCTTCTACAAAACACACTTTCGTCTTCATCGCTACCGACTACAAGATAAGTAAAACATTTTCAACTGATTCGTACTTAGCTATGATCCACTTATAAATATTTCAATGTGCTTTTTAACTTTAAAATTATTTATTAACTAGTTTCTAGTGGTTTTGTTTCAGATTAAGCTACGTTATTCCGCGTCGACATGATTCAACTACCTAAATGAATTTTTCTATTATAACCTTTTATAAATCTTCATGGTGAGTAAATTTTGATACTAAGCGTTTTACATTAATGTAACTTGTCTTTTTTATATTCATCTTTTTTATCATAATAACTTTATTATTTAAAAAGTAAAACAAAATAAAAAGTAAAAAAAAAATAAGAAAAATAAAAATCATAAAAATACTTTTTTTATGAACGATGTTCTAATTTCTTTAGTGGTTTTGTTTCAGGATAAGATCATTGACAGTGGCCATCTGGATTAATGACAGTGGCCAGCATTATCATCGGCATCAGCATCATCTTCGCCATTAGCATCATCAGCACCATCGTCATCATTACCATCATCATCGTCATCATCGTCATCGTCATCAGCATCATCATTGTCATCAGCATCATTAGCACCAGCATCATCATCATCATCATCATCATCATCATCATCATCATCATCATCATCATCATCAACATCGTCCTTACCATCATTACTATCATCGTAATTTTCATGGTGAGTAAATTTTGCTTCAAAGCGTTTACTTATTTTATTATAACTTGTCTTTATTAATATTTTTAACAACTTTGATTATGAATCTTTTCTAACGTATCAGTATCAACTTAACTCCATTTTGCGGTAAAACCACCTTAAAATCCACCTTCAATCTACATGTAGGTAAGTACAATTCCATTTTCATCTTTTTTTATCATTATAACTTTATTATTTAAAAAGTAAAACAAAATAAAAAGTAAAAAAAAAATAAGAAAAATAAAAATAATAAAAATAAAGTAAATCAAAGTAAAAAGTAAATTTTTACTTTGATTTTGTATTTTTTTATGAACGATGATGTACTAATTACTTTAGTAGTTTTGTTTCAGGATAAGATCAATGACAGTGGCCATCTATATTAATAACATCATCATCATCGCAATCAGCAACATCATCGTCATCAGCATCATCATCGTCATCGACATCAACATCATCATCGTCATCAGCAACATCATCGTCATCAGCAACATCATCGTCATCAGCAACATCATCGTCATCAGCAATATCATCGTCATCAGCATCATCATCGTCATCAGCATCATCATCGTCATCAGCATCATCGTCATCATTACCATCATCATCATCGCCATCGGCATCATCATCGCCATCAACAACATCATTGTCATCAGCAGCATAATCGTCGTCATCAGCATCATCATCATCGTCCTTACCATCATTACTATCATCGTCATCATCTTAATTTTCATGGTGAGTAAATTTTGCTTCAAAGCGTTTACTTATAGTATTGTAACTTGTCTTAAAATATTTGTGTAATCTTTTCTGATCATCTTAGTGGTTTTGTTTCAGGATTAATTTAACGCCATTATTTCGTGGTATTTGCATCTTATAATCCAACTTAAATGTACATATCGGTAAGTACAATTCCATTTTCATAAATTTTTACTTTGATTTGTATTTTTTATGAACAATGTTCTAATTTCTTTAGTGGTTTTGTTTCAGGATTAGATCATTGACAGTGGCCATTCAGATCAATAACATCATCAATGTCATCAGCATCATCATCGCCTTCAGCATTATAAGCATCATCGTCATCATTACCATCATCATCATCATCATCAGCATCGTCATCATCGTCATCAGCATCATTAGCACCAGCATCAGCATCATCATCATCATCAACATTATCAACATTATCATCATCATCGTCATCATCATCGTCCTTACCATCATTACTATCATCGTCATCATCTTAATTTTCATGGTGAGTAAATTTTGCTTCAAAGCGTTTACTTATTTTATTATAACTTGTCTTTTTTAATATTTTTAACAACTTTGATTAATTATAATTATGTTATGTATTTTCTAATGATCTTAGTGGTTTTGTGTCAGATCAACTTAACTCCATTTCGCGGTTAAATTTCCTTAAAATCCACCTTCAATCTACATGTCGGTAAGTACAACTCCATTTTCATCTTTTTTACTTTGATTTGTTTGTTTTTTATGAACAATGTTCTAATTTCTTTAGTGGTTTTGTTTCAGGATTAGATCATTGACAGTGGCCATTTGGATTAATAACATCAGCAATGTCATCAACAGCATCATCGTCTTCAGCATCAGCATCGTCAT